TGGCTGGATGGATGGATGGATGGATGGATGGATGGATGGATGGATGGATGGATGGATGGATGGATGGATGGATGGTTAATCAACCATACATGTACATTCAATTATTACTTTCTGAAGCTTTAAATAAAATTCATCCAGTGAGTCATGAGATATTTTGCTGACAGACATTTTCATTATAAAAAAGCATTTACCTGATAACTATTTGTATTTGTCTGTCACTTGTTGTGATTTCCACAACAAATTTTCAAGCAACTGTTTTGAGAATATCTTATCTTTGAAATCTAATAAAGAGTAAACAAAATTAAAAATATCTTAAATATATAACTATATAAGTATGTGTATTGTAAGAAACATATTCCCACTTGGAAGGCAGCACGGTGGCGCAACTGGTAGAGCTGCTGCCTCTCAGCGAGCAGGTCCTTGGTTCAAACCCCAGTCCAGGGGCCTTTCTGGGTGGAGTTTGCATGTTTTCTCCGTGCATGCGTGGGTTTTCTCCGGGTGCTCCAGTTTCCTCCCACAGTCCAAAAACATGCATGTTAGGCTGATCGGTAACTCTAAATTGTCCCTAGGTGTGAGTGAGAGAGTGAATGTTTGTTTGTCTCGTTTGTTTCTATGTGGCCCTGTGATGGACTTGCGACCCGTCCAGCGTGTACCCCACCCCTCGCACAGTGATTGCTGGACATGGGCACCGGCGACCCCCGTGACCCAAAATTGAATTGGGGGGTAAAGATAATGGATGGATGGATGGATATTCCCACTTGGACCTAAAATAACTTATCACTGAGCAGGGTGTGCAGGGAGTTTTTACAGCCCCTCTGTACCCAACAGTACAGAGTATTTGAGTGTGTTCACAAATACTGAGCAGTCAGATGAAAGAGAGGACCGCCCCACTCAGAGACGGGAGTCCTCTCGCTGAATGCATGAGTGACTGATTACTTTAGTAGCTGAACCTGAGCTCCACACAAAAAAGAGAAGCCTGAGACCAAGCCTGAAGAGACCGGACTACAAACAAGGGCTTCCCATAACAAAAAAGACTGAAATAATTGCAGACTGCAGGAAAGGACCATCATTCCTGTTTCACAAAGAAGCAGTTTAACTGGACCGTGCTAAAAAAATGTGAAAAAGTTGGACCATATGTAAAAGCTGTGTCGAACAGCAGGCCAGAGAAAGTTGCTAAGAAAGCTCACCCTGTGTTCTAAAACCTGGGTCAGCATTTGTGAACGTCCATTTCTGCATAAGTGAGCACACAAACCCCAGCGCCTGTTCAAATAGTCTGCAGCTCTGTGTCAGGCAGCTCATGACAACAGCCCAGCAGCAGCACTGTTTGATCTCCAATGTTTCCTTAATCTGGGTTGTCAAGGTTCGCTTGTTGGAGGCTGTTTACTTTACTTCTCATACAAAAAGTGTCTTTTCTCCCCCTCAGACAATGACTAATCCTAAAACCAAGAAGGCGGGAGCACTGCCAGCAATGGTCGTTAAAGCCACAGTTTCCCTTTTTGCCAAATTTCTGATGGTTCTGTGATGTTTTAGTCCTGTTGTTGCCAGCTGCACACTTTACAGTGTAAAATACTGCAGTGATACTTTTATTCTTGTTGCACTGAAGTTACCACAGGCCAGATAAGACAAATATGGCTGCCGTGGATAGCTGGCTTAATCGATGACGTTGACTATGATAACTGGTCAACAGCATAATGTTTAGTCAGCAGAATTATTTTTATTTAACCTTTTAATTTCTTGCATATGTTTGTCAAGTTCCTGTCATCTCCAGCTGACCTAGTTTCCAAAAGTTCACAGTTTCAAAACAAGCCAAGTGATGAAAGTTTCCAATGGCCAAAGAAGTCTAAAGTATTGGAGTTTTTCAAACTAGCCAACAATTAAA